TCTGGAGTTTTCAGCGATATTCTTGTCTATATTAGAACTATTTTTAAAGGGAGGTGTTGCCCAAGGCTATATCTGCAGGCAGCTTTTAAATGTATTTCCAACACCAGCATGTTGGGGCGCTGGCAGATTAATTTAATCTTTTATTCAGAAGGGGGGAATAGGAAGGGGGATGTTTCGATTTTCCAAACAGACAGAGTTGTCTGACTTTGAGGACCTAAAGAAAAGATATTTTCTGAAATGCTAACTAGTTTCATGGACCTCCTCCACCAAACACTAGAGCACAAATCACAATTTGGCCAAACTTTAAGTTACACTGGCCCGAAGCTGGGAAACTCCCAGAGGGAACGGGATGAAGTTTATTTTAATTACGCTGCAGAATAAGCTTTCTGGGCTCGAATCACTCCTTTATGTCTCTCTCAGGGAAACGCAAGCCAACTTACCGGGGCTCCTGCCACGGTGGAACCAGGGATGGTGGGGTTACTCTCCTTGCGGTCCTCATGAGATTCCTCCGGTCCCCGAGTCACAAGAATTCTGAAATGCTGCTGCCCCGCATTTTGATCTTGCCTGATCTTAAATGTGCAGCCCTGACCCTGCGGGGTCCTTTCCATGGAATTCATCCTGTGGATTTCGGGAGCCACCCTGCGGCCCCGAGGCGGCGTCTCTGGGTGTCCCATGTGGCCCAGTTCTTCCGTGGGGCTGCTGCGCTCCGCTCGGGGCTGCGTGGGGTACGACGTGCTCCTCTCCAGCCGGATGCGGGGGTACCGCACCAACCTGTCCCCCTTCGTGCCTGTGAACCCAAAGTTGAAGTCACCACCTACACCCGGCCCGCCTGCTGGCGGCTGCTGTAGCTGGAAGACAAAGCAGCGCTTCCCAGAACTTCCAGAAGTATCGGGAACGTGCTGCAGGGACCAGCGCCTGGGCTCCGGAGCTGAAGGGCTGCCCTGGCCGTCGGCCCCAAAGGGCATCAGCCTCACCTGGCGCACGTCAGCGCTGGAGGCTCGGTGCTGGATCCGGAGCCCGCCACCCTTGGGTCCTGGGGTGGCCGCAGGCTCGGCCTCCTCGCGGCCATCAGCAGCGACAGGACCCCATGCTCGGCGGCCACACATGCCATTGACTTGGGGGCCTGCACCCCTGGTGGCCCTAAGCGGGGAGTCCTCTGGGGCCTGGGGCTCAGGGGGCTCCAGGCAGCGGCCCAGAGGCACTGACCCCACGTCGCCATCCAGGCCCTCGTGTAGCCCGCACATGTCTGGGGCCCCGTCGGCCGCTTTGCGCTGCAGCGAGATCTGCACGGACGAGCTGCGGGTGGGCCGCGTGTCCACCGGGCTCAGGAGCTGCGGGATGAACATGGACGTGCTGCGCTTGAGCGCGCCCACCGCCTCCTGCAGGCCGCCGCCGTCCTCCGCCCCACGGTGGGCGAAGGGGTGAGGGCCGCTCCTCCGCGGCAGGGTGTGGAATGCCATGAAAAAGTCGTCTTCTCTCTCCTGGTCGAGGATCTCCGATTCGGGGGCTGTGTTGCTGCGACCGGAGCCAAAATGAAACCGAAGCCGATGGGCCATGGTGCCCAGGGGGGCAGGGAGGGAGAGGACGAGCGGCGACAACACGCCCAGCACTGCCAGAAGTCAAAAACCGAAGACACAAACTCCAAGAAAAAGCGTCCCATCTGCCAAACTGTTAGCACTGCGGCACCAAGAGCGACAGATAGCAGAAATAACCCAAGTGGCAAGCGGCATTCCAGGCATGATTGGATAAGAGCAAAAAGCTCTCATCCACACTGTGACAGAGGGTAGGATGGCCAGAACCACATGACCGCCGTCTCCCCCTCCAATGCCAGCTTGTGGACTTAGTGGAGTTTTCCCCCCTCTCGCTCTCATTTTTTTTTTTTTTTTTAAACAGCAAGAGCCTGAAACAGCACCTTCCCAGCTGCTGCTTTTTTCCATCAGACAGGAGTGGCCCCAGCAGGGAGCTCGCACAGCTGACTACGGCAGACACACTCCGAGCCACGCTGCTATAAATCTATCCGCATCACACTCACAGGACAGTTCTTTCCGAGCGGAGCCGGGGCACTGGGCTCTCTAACCAACGCGAGAGCTGGCACTGAACACGCCAGCACACAGGGTATTTCCCCACCTCCCCGCAGGACCAAATGACGACAAGCAAAAATGCCTTGGCTCGAGGAAAACCTTTCACCAGCCTCGGAGGTTATGTTCCTGTTATTTATGATATCACCACACTACCCGGATGGAATGCAAACTAATAAAATGTGCTATAAATACGGTTACACATCCCACAGAATTAGTGTCTCTTTAATGCTAAATAATTAGACCATGATCTATAAGACACAAAATAGCTAAGAGCAAGGGGCACAACTTTTCACACTGCCAGTTAGTGGTCTGCCTTCTGCTACTACAATCCTTTTCATTTAGAAGGTAGGTAGAAGGTAGGTGTGTAGGTGTGTGTGTTGAACTCTCACACAGTATGACTGTCAGAGAGGGGAGTACCAGAGAAAAGGGACCCAGCTGGAGAAAATATTTTCTCCCATATGCCAGATAAGAGGAAAAAAACAATACTCCGCCCCCTCCCCCAATAAAAGGAAGGAAAATTGAAGAAGGGTGTACATGTGCTTTTTGTAGAAAGTTAACTTAAATACCATACAGGAAAAAAAAGGCTGCCCCGAGCTGACTGTTTTCCAGCGAGAAGTCAGCAATATTATTAACACAGTTGGGATACAAACAAGGAATCTCGCTATTTCTGCAAAGGGCCCAAAAAGAGCTAAGAAAGAAAACTAAAGGTCCACATTCAAAAAACTGTCATCGGATTTGTAAACTTGGATATATTCCGTGTGTTTTAAACTATTTTCCGTGATCCAGAAACATCAGTTATTTAACAAAGAGATTCAGGAGGGAGGGAAAGGGAAAAAAAAAAAGAGCAGGGAAAATACCAAGCTGCAAAGAGTGACAAAAAGAAGTTTATTTTAAAATCCACCAAGCATGACTTCGTCAACAGCTCTGGAATCGAAGGTATGGGGGATTAACCCTGTGTTTACGTACACACAAACCTGTTTTCTAAAGGCATGTGTTTTAAATGCCAAAAATGGAAGCTAGTTTGTTTAATACTAAACCTAAGTACCACTGCAGCCACGTACTGTCTTGGCTGGATTAATGGCCAAGGAGAAACATCAGCAGTGACACTCACTGCATGGTAACAGCACTGCAGATGGCCTGGGGCAAAGCAGGTATTAATATCATAAAACAGCGTTCCAGATAAAATCTGTATTCACACAGGATTTCTTAGAGCTCTGCATTCAAAGCCCTTTTGGGTCTAGAAGTACATCAGGGCCCAAGACAAGGTCATATCGCCAGTCATTGGGCTAGATAATGGCAATGAGAGCCCCATTTTTTACAGTGAATTTCTCTTAATAGAAGAAAATTAAGTAATTAATTAAAACACATATGACAAGAGGCAATTCTCCCTCCAATCTGACCCTGCCTTCACCTTAAAGAAGTGTTATTATACTCAATCAGTGAGTAAGGATTAGTCTGTGACCGCATCTGTGACTCCAGGGACTGACCGTCACTCCACAAACACTGCCCACAACTCCCAGTCTCTGCTGGATGACAGAGGGGCACTAAGACTGCACCCTCAGTGGAATCACTCATTCGGTTTAACAAGAAAATCACTTCAGACACACAGCTGATTCAGCTATGCACCACCCAAGGTAAAAAAAAAAAAGGTTGAGTTCAATGAAAAGCCACCGAAGACCCAAGTATATTTTTTATAGAAAAGATGTCAGGACAGGAAGCCAGAATCTGTTGGCTTTCTAATTTGGAAAATAATACCAAGCACAGGAGATTAAGCACACTCCCAAATTCCATAATCAGGGCGAAAAGCCTGGCTATTCGCCACCACTGGCCTGAGACTAGAACAGCAGTTCCCACTGAGCCCTGCACCGACTGCCATGTCTAAATCACATCCGGGCTCTAGACCTCTTCTCTCAAGGGCAAGGACAGGGAGTTAAGCGAGTTGTAGTACAGGGCTCCTCCAAATCACATATTCTCATCTCAAACCATTTAGAAACTTGAAGTTTCAGTTTAATTCTTCAGCAGGAAGGGTTCATTAAGAACATTCATTTTTACAACAACAAGAGAAACCCATTAGATTCAAGGAAAGTAAATCTGAGTGACAACTGATGGCAATGAGTTATACCTCTTCTTAGAGCACCTTGGAAGCTGGCACAAAACAAAGTTCAATTTCATAGTTGGAACACTTCCCTCACAGGTACTTGATGTTTACATTCTAGTTAGGTAACTGGCAAAATGCTTCAAGCCAGATTTACTTCTGAAATTCCATTTCTAAAACAAAATCTTAGTTTTGTTGCACGCATATATATAGATACATAGATATGTAAGATATCTGTATCTTACTATCTAACAATCTCTATATAAAATGTTAGTTTGTATCAGTCTTATGCCTCACGCATATCTTTGGTTCTACTAATTTCCCTTGAGAAAGTACCACTTTCAAAATATAATTAATTTTACCTGTTAAATATAGATTCACTTTTTACTGTCTACAGTTAATTAGATTTTGTTTCCCTATGTGGAGAGAAGCATCATAGAATTCCGACTGAACAGGTGACAGTACTGTAGTCTGGCTTATATTTAAAATCCCTGAAAGGTTTGTGTACATGAGCAATGGCCTCTTTACAGATTTGCCAACCACTCTGAATGCCCAACAGAACGTAAATATGGTTTGATATATCAGTGTGACTTTCACTAATATTAACTATGATAAAAACATGCACAAATACAAATACAATTTCTGTCCCAGCCATACAAAAATATTTGTTAGAATCATGAGCCAGTAATGGAATAAAAATAAAGTCATGGCAGGGGGCAGATAGACTGTCAGAAGTACAACACGAACAGAGTTTTAAAAGCTGCTGCTCTAAAAATCAAGTGTTTTAAAAAATGAAGCAAAAATAAAACCTGAGATCCACTTACCAATCTGTTTTCATCAAATACTTCAAACAGGAGTCTGTGATTAGATGGGTTTACCTAGAGAGACATAAATAGTATTTCAAAAATGGGCAGAGATAACTCAAAGGATGAAATAAGAGATAAAGAACAGAATGCTTTAAAATGCACCCAAATCAAATGTGAAATCTGAGCAACTGGTTTCTTCTGGAAATCCTGTATCCACTAAATCAACTTTCCTATTATTGATTTCTGTATTTTTCTATGCCTAACATTGAGGTATATAAAAGGAAAAGGCTTGTAGCTGCTTTTCTAACATTAGAAAGAATAATTATAAATAGTTTTTCAAACTCCTATAAAAAAGGGGTGGTCACTCCTGTAAGACCAGTGATTTTCAACCTTTTTCATCTCATAGCACACATAAACTAATTACTGAAATTCTGTGGCACACCAAAAAAAATATATTTTTTGCAGATCTGACCAAAAAAAAAAGGCATAATTTTGATTAACTCACACCAGATAGCTATTGTTGTGTTGGCTGTTGTCATTTTTTATTTGACAATCTAGAGGAAAAGAGGCCAGTGCCCCTGACTAAATAGTCAGGTAAGACATGTTTTAAAAATTCTTACAGCACACGGGTTGAAAATCGCTGCTCTAGACCAAGGCTGTATCTTCACAAGATCTATGGCTGAAGATAGCTCATAGGCATCATCACCACCATCATAATAAAATAGGGACAATTAAAATAATAAAAGAATAGTAAAAGCAGCCATTTACTACATTGTGCTTATTTTTCAGGCATTATCTACTTATTAAATATCAAAAACACATAATCTCCTTTGATTCTGACTGCAAACCTATGCTGTGTAACTGTCGCCCCAATCTTACCATGAGGATACAAGGCAACCAGAACCCCAACCAGGCCTGCTTGTCTCCAGAGCCCATGCTTTGAACCATCCGAGAGACAAAGAAAGAAAAGACGTCCTCCCGCAGCTGTGGGGTCAATGTCAGAGCTAGTGAGCTTTCAATGTCTTTCTGCTTCTTTCTGTCTCTTTACCAAAACCTCTCCAAAATGGCAGGAATCATCCCGCAGACCCAAGTAACATTTTATGAGTATCAACCACATATGGAACATTGTGCCAGGTGTTCTCATTCACATTATCACATGGAAATGCTGGAAACAGCCCTATGCAGTGAGGACCTCTCTCTCCCATGTGAGCGATAAGGAACTTGCAGAGAATGTAGTCCTCGGGTGGCTTTTCCAGCGTCACAAAGGTCACATGCCTAGAACCCAGGATGGGACCCGGGATGGGACAGCAAGTCTCGTCTGCTTCATGATGGAGAATAGAATGAAAGAACTCTGACATACATCTTGTGCTTGTGGCCCCCTGGCCTGCCCTCAGAGGCCCAGTGATGGAGCAAGCAGTCAGAGGGGGTAGGGTTCTAAGCTCTGGGAAGGGTTGAGCTGCTGACCAGTGCATCCTCAGGCTGCGGCTGGGGCCGGCACATAGTAGACACACAATAACAACTTGTGGGGTGAATAAAACAAAGGCCTTTTTGTAAAAAGCCAAGAAAAATAGAGTTTGCATATGTGTATAGCCAAGATTAGTTGGAAAAAATTTTTGGGTGTACTAAAATTTACATAAATGTGGCCAAGGTGTTAAACTGAAAGGGGTCTAAGTAATTTGGAGTTTTACAAGTGGAAAGTTCTATTTGAGAGTTACTAAGGGCCAATAACATCAATCTGCCCCTGTAGGTTTCTCAGTCCTTCAAAGTAATTTTAAATGCATCTGGTGGAGGCTACACATAGGATCTCACCAAGTATTAAAATATCCATGCTACATTTCATCTCTGAACATAATAGAAAACATATATCTAATGATCTAAGTTTGGAGCACATAAAATACTACTGTGATTGGAAGAAGAAATCAGGACCAATGACAATAGGTCTAATGGTAATATTGTGAAAATACAGTTATTTGGGAATCTACACTAATCAAAATATCTAATCTGGCACATTTGTAAAGGCAAAGTAGTTAAAAAAAATTTTTTTTAATATGTTTTTATTATTTTTTTAGAGAGAGAGATAGAAACACTGATGTGAAAAAGAAACATGGCCGCCTCCTGCACACCCCCTACTGGGGATCGAGCCCACAACCTGGGCATGTGCACTGACCAAGAATCGAACTGGGACCTTTCAGTCCACGGGATGACGCTCAATCCACTGAGCCACGCTGGCCGGGCAAGGTAAAGTAGTTTTTAATATCACAATATCACAGCTATACATACAATGAGAATATATTCATTTTGAAGAGATAGAGAAAATTAAAAAAACACATTTCCATTACATAGTTGAGCAGTTTAATATTTTCAATTTTTCAGTACAAAAAAAACCCAGCAACCACCACAAATAGTAATCTCTGTTAATTCACAGAATTCAGTCATTTCTATATATAGCTCTTCTAGGTAGTAAACATAAAAGGTTGAGGAAATTTAATTAATTTTCAGTGATATTTAAACTCCAGAAGTAGTTTTATACTACACACATATATTCACATTAAATACTTGAATTACAAAAATTTTCCTTGCTAAGAACATGATTGGTAATTTAGTCTTCTTTTTCATCCTGTTGCTTCTATTGTTTTATCCTACCTCTACAATAATTCATAACCCATATCTCAGAGAGGAAATTAACCTACTGTTTTAATGATACTTTACCTTACTTTTAAAAGAAAAATTTGAATAGAAAAGCCAAAATATGGTATTTAGATACATTTCTTTTTATGTCCCTAAAACATTCCCAAATAAAACAAGTCATATTTTTTTACTACTCATCAGAGTCTTTGAAAAATTGGGACGCATTAGCAGGCTGGCTACCCAACCATTTCTCATAGTGAAAGGAATTTCACAGTAAAAATTTAACAGCTTTCATTCAATAGGAATCTATTAGGATAATATATCAATCTAGTGATAAATAACAACAGTTACCAAAAAATGAAAAACTTACTCTAAAATAAAATTCTTCATTCCATTTTGGGTTCAGCGTCTGGAAGAGAAATTATCTTGTAATATATTTTACGGTCTTTGAAACTTTAACAGTTACTAGTATAACATAGTCCATATATTTGCTTAGCTATTTTTATTAAAAAACACACACACACACAAACTAAGAGATTCTCAAAATAGCAAAAAAAAGCAGCATTCAGTCAATTATTTGAGACTATTCTATAAACCAAACTAGATAGGGAAGGGATGGATTTATGAAACAGATGATTCATAAAGAAACCATAAATTGCAAGCTATCTACCAGAAGGAGTAACATTGGGGATCTGCAAAGAGCCATCATCAGGAAGATATAAAGATACTTTTCAAGAAATTAACATTTGTATGACTACCCTATCAAGAAGGAAATAAACTTTGTTCTCTTCCCTCAACCTATGTGCTACAAAAAAGTGAAGCATTTTATAACAACCATATTGATGATCAGATTATATAACAAGAAAAAAAATCTGCCAGCTATAAACCAAAAGTAAATTCTTGTTTCCCAAAATAGCAGGTTTAAAAAGATTCTTCTCCGTATTCTCCTCTCTTCTCTATCCATTCATCCATCCATTCCCATATCAATCTACTTAAATACACAGCGCACAAGAACATGGAAAGGATATTTTGTCCTCAGCATAGACAATAGATGGACTGGTTAAACAGCCTCTGAAACTAAGATGAAACAGATACTATGAAGGAATACATATATATGCTTGTGAATTTTGGACATGCATAATACTCTTAAATAAATACATGTCTCAAAAATTACATGTAAATATTTGAGACTGAGAAATCACCTCACCCATGGCCACAGATATTTTGCAGTCAGAATATTTGCCTTTATTAACCTATTTCCTTTAACATACTAGTGCAAGAAGAAGCAAAAATAAATAATGCACCATGAAAAATAAAAAAAAAAACACAGAATTTGTATAACCCCGAACTGGCATTTTTTAAAAAAAATCAGCACCTTCCCCACCCAGGACTCAACAGTGAATCCAACCCTACATAACGGGGCTTGGTACTTTTAGCTGAGGATGGAGCCGGGATGGTGATGGGAGAGGGGGTGGGGAGGGCACAGGGGTGCCAGGCAGCCAGGGAGCCAGGGAGAGGTAGGGCAGGCCCGGGCCTGCCTTGGCTGCAATAGTCCGGGACCAGCTTCATAGAAATACAGAGGGGAGGAAGCAAAGGACAGGTGAGGGAAGAAAACAACAAAAACAGAGACCACAAAACGCATGAAAGACCGGGCACAGGGCCAGGAGGCGAGGAGGATGAAAGCAGTTCCCGGGCGGTCACAGCAGTGATACTAACCAGGAGGCTGGCTGCCGAGCAGCCCAGCCACGCAGCTGCACCTCTACCGTGGAGAGGAGGGAGGAGGGGCTCCCCTCGGAAGAAAACACATTTCAATTCCCAAATCACCTGCTCTGGGCCTTAGGTTCTCCGCTCCTTCCGCGTTCGCAGGCTACGGGGTCCTGGGCTTGCCGCCCCGCAAGGCGTGCCTCTCCCTGCACTGATAACTGAGCCAGTGACAGCGCCTAACACGGCGAACAATGGCCTCCCTCCTTCGCAGGCATCCTCCCCACTAATCAAAACATTTTTAATGCCAGGCCGAATGCCAGGTGGAGGACACGCTACAGCTGCCTTTCCTTACACAAAATGACCTGGTCCTGGAGCCCAGGCGTCTGCACAATCGCAGGAGAGGTACCATTAAAAAAAAAAAAAAAAAAAAAGCCATCAAGCTCTCCAGGAAAGGCTGATCACGGTGTTATCTCCCTACCCAAAGGCAGTGAGGACAAAATAATAGTAATCCATAAATAACACCGGAGCATGATTTAAAGCGCTTTTGATTAAAAATAATAATACTTTTTAAAAAGCAGCCCTGGCTCATTTGGCTCAGCAGTTAGAACTTCAGCCTGTGGATCCAATGGGTGGGGGTTCCATTCCTGGTCAAGGGCATGTACCTGGGTTTCAGGTTTGACCCCTGGCCTTGGTGGGGGTCGTTGGGGAGGCAAACAATCTATGTGAGAGACACATGGATGTTTTCTCCCTCCCTCCCTTCCCCTCTCTAAAAATCAGTGGGAAAATATCCTCCAGTGAAGATTAACAACAACAAAGGCATCTTCAACAAATGCCTGAAATGTGGACTAAATACTTTGTCACACAAGCATGAAGCTAAATTAATTAAAATATAATTATGGAAACGCCTTTAATGAAATCATGTATGTGAGATTTAGAAAAGACACATATAAACTTAGTTTTATTATTAATATTTTTTATTTGTTTTTATGTAGCTAAGCAAGTATTTGCTTCTTTGGAAATACTTGTTTCAAGTTAAATCATTCCCTTTATGCCTACCAAATCCTCAAGTGACTCTATTTCATTAAACATATTTTAAATTTCTTTATGAAAAATAAGCCAACAAGAACAAATCTTTGTTTTGCAGTACTCTTTGCAGGGAAAAACATTGCTACTTGTAATAATATTTATTTTAAGAATACTGTCTTTACAGTCATTTAACCAAAAGCCAGAAACTTATCTTGGGTTAACACTAAAAACTTTGATCTATATTGAATTTATAGATTTAATACTGGGAGAGACAAAGTAAAAATATTGCCATCTTAATCTTAAAATATAAACTTGTATAGAACCAAAATACATAATCTAACCAGATTAACATATGGCTGAAATGAGATGTAATTAGGATGGATACCTACCTTTTTAATTGTTTTTGTCTGGACCAGAGCAAGTTCTCTATTCTCATCCGCTACGTACAATGAAAGTTTCACGTATGGATCACTGCAAGAAAATATTTCAGATTTAACAGGATTATACTTTTCATTTTAAAATTACAAAAAAGAAATCAGCTAAAACCTGAAGCATAATTTAAAGCATCTTTGATTAAAAGATGTACTTTTGATGAAAATGCAAATATCAATTGACAACTCAGCTTATGTAAATTCCACAAACTAAGCAGTAACATTTTCAATTTACCTATTAAGTAAATAGACTGAGAAGTTTCTACCAATGAGAGCCAATGATGTCTATTTAGAAGCAAAAATATCATGAAACTCATACTCTAACTTTAAAAATAATCTTGCCTAACTCAAAATATTTAAACTGCCATAGTTTTTCCCTTAAACAATCAGATTCCGAAAAGATTTCAAGAACAAAGTAACAAGCATACAAAATTTTTTCAGATTAGCAAAATCTAGCTAGAAAATTTATTTCATGTCATTTATATTCTGATTTCTACTATTTATGTAAAAAAATAATTTTCTTTTAGTGGAGGTAAAAGACATTGTTTATCTAAACCAACAACTATCATCTTACAAATTAAAACACAAACTCAAAAACAAAAAACTAAGGCCCAGGAAGTCAGGGGGATTTGCCTAAATTTATAGATTTCAGTAAAGTCTAGATAAAATTTCAGGTTTCCTGACTACAAATCCTAGAGTTTTTATTACTTCCTTGGGAAATTGAAAACTTTTAAGGAGAAGTGTACTATAAGGATTACTTAGTGTGAACTATATATCTCCTAACAGTGTGACAAATCCAGTATCACTAATGTGGGATAGTTCAAATCTAGTCAAACCAGCACTATAAGAATTTGGGCTCCAGGTTCTCTCATTTCACACTTGAGACCCTGAAAATCAGAGAAAGGGCTTCCCATGTATTCAATTCCCCAAATTTTCACTCATCTAATTATCTACAGCTGATAAGTTATTTCTACCCACTTTGAGAATTATCCTTTAGTGCTATATCATGACTATTAACAGTTATTGCGCAACTTCTAGGACATTTCCAAAGATTACACAGGGTATTGGTTAAATGCTTAAGACTATGTTGATTTTTATTTTATACTTTAATAAATATGCCATGAAATCCTTCAAGGAAAGAAAAGGTGTGGTAAAATTAAAAGTTTGGTAGTAACAGGACTATACTCAATATTCAAAAAAAACAAAAATCAAATGTCAGTAAAAAAAAAAAAAAAATACATATATACACATAGGCTTTATTATGGTATTTATTACCCATAAAATACATTTTAATGTAAGCTATAACATATCTCCTTAAAAAAGAAGAAGAAGAACAACAACAACAACAACAACAACAAGAAGAACAAGAAGAAGAAGAAGAAGAAGAAGAAGAACAAGAAGAAGAAACAGCAGCAGAATTTGCTCAGTTATATTCTAAACATTCTGGTATACAAGAAGGCTGGATATAAGACCATCACTCTGTTAATAGAGGCATCTAATTCTCCTTTTATGAACACCCCCAGCCTTAGAATAAAGATGAGTCAGGAGACAGACCTAATCTCGGTTTAAAGACCATCCCTCCCCCAAAAGCACCCTGGCCATTTTGGCCCGAGGATCAGTGAGTCTCGGGTTTGATTGCAGTCAAGGGCACATGCGTCCGTTGTGGTTTGTCCCCCGCCCTGATCAGGGTCATGCAGGAGGCAACCAGTCAATGTGTCTCTCTTACATCGATGTTTCTCTCTCTCTCTTTCCCTCCCACTCTATCTTAAGATAAATAAAAAAATGTCCTCAGTTGAGGATTAAAAAAAATAAAAAATAAAAAAATAAAGACCTGAAGAGCACCTTCCTAATCAGTCCTGGTTGGAGTGATGAATTAGGAGTCAATTGCTATGTGATTCTCAGACCTGAGCATATGAGAACTGCCTGGGGGAGAAGGGAGTTAAAACACAGATTGCTGGGCCCCAACCCCAAAGACCCCTAAAGACCCAGTAGGTCTGGGTGGGACCCTATAATTTGCATTTCTGACAAATTCCCAGTGATCCCAATGCTTCTGATCCAGGAACCACACTGAGAACCAGTTAGATGGTATTTTAAAATACTTTTTTTTAAAGCTATATAAACTAACATTCTATTTCTAGCCACTAAGCTATTGCTAAAACAAAACAAAAACACCAGGCCTGATATCTCTGTTGTCTCAAGAACAGGTTCCCAGAATGCTTGGAGGTGCACACACAGGCACACCCACACACAAGCCTACACTACCGAGAACTCCATAAACTCTGCTGACTGCCGCCCCATTTTCATGTCCCTCAGCTATCACGACTGCTGCCTATTACAGAACTGCAATACAGAGCTAAGCATTCCCTCTAATAGAACATCCACATTCTTCTACTAATCATTTATTGACCTCGGTTTGTATCCCCTAAACAGTTCACAGTAAGTGGCACACGCAGCTGGGGGTTGAGAGTGGGGTCCCTAAGGCTGGGACAATGTGTCCAGCTGTAACAAGGCAGGCATGCCTGGGCACGTCTTGAAGTGCTCCTCCAGGTACAAGTAGGGACTGGGGTATCTGCATGAAAGATCAACCAAGAAACTCCTGGAAGAGAATTCAGCATGGAGAGAGAACCAAAGGCTAACGTGTGGGAGCTGGTGGAAGAACAATGGGGTGAGAGTTCAAGGGGCAGGAACACAGGGCTGAACATGTCAGTTCAAGGGTGGTGCTGGTGGGAGCTACCCAGACCGGTCTCAGGTTCCTCCTCCCTGTCTGACGGTACAGCAGGACCGTTCACATCGATGAGTATTTACTGAGTACCATCTACATTCCAAGGACTCTTCCAGGAGCACACACAAGTGCTAGTGAACTGGGGGAAAGGGTGGGCAAAAAAAGGATGACATCAACGAAGGTCATACGTGGGCATTTACGCATGGCCCTACTTAGCCCAGATGAGTGAAGACAACTGCGTCTTCCCAGTTCAGCGAGGTGAGAGCTGGAGCACAGAGCTGGAATATGGGTCAGGGCATCGGGAATTAGAATTACGAGCAGGAAGATGCCAGAGCAGCCTGAACAGGAATCAATTCTACCTCAACCAGCAGCACCACCATGATCACAAGTCCAGCAGCGCCCAATCACCACGAAGAGGTCCTCGCCTGGCATACGTGAAATACTTACATGTGTATCTCATTGGACCCTCACTGCAAGCTTATGAAGTTGGCACATTTCTCGGATGAGAAAATGAGACAGACATCAAGCAGGTCAATCAGCAAATAGGGGAGATGGAAAGGGAGGGGTACAGGCACACTTGCTCCAGAATCCAGTTCCGTGAGTGCACACTCTACAGCCTTGCAACACTACCGCTGACCACCGACAGAGCTGGCCGGAAGGGCTGTCCAGGGGCAGGAGCTACTAGAATTCTGCCATGTTGGAAAACATTTTGGATGTGACTGCAATTATGATATAGTTTTTATCTTTGCTGTGGTCGGAGGAGGAACAAGATGCCCGAGCTAAGTGTCTACCTTTGGGGAAGGCCACACCTTGAGATCTTATCTTCTGTACACTCCAAATAACTAGCTGTGTAACCTTGGACATGTCACTTTAGCACGGTGAACCTTAATTTCCGTATCTCCAAAATAAAGGGTTTGGACTAAATCAGTGGTTTTCAAACTGCAGAGCCTCAATTCTGCTTAACAATCTCAGGTTAGCTACGCGAGGCCATTCCACCGTCATCTGTTCTATATACTGGGCTTCCGTGCTAGAATGTTTTAGAACTTTATTTTTAAAAATGTTTTAAAGCCACTAAACTGGATAGTCCCTTTTAGAATATTCTGAATCTCAGAACAATTCGAACTTGTTTCACGTCATTCCTAGGAAAGAACTAGAGCCCAGCCCATCCTACAGGCGCAAGAGGGAATACGCCCCTGACCTCTATGAAGAGGTTTTCTCCGTCAGGACATAAAAGCACAGCTTTGAGTACGGGAGATGACTTGATCATCACTGGGCTGATATTTCCCGATATATATTACCAGCTTCTAATCAACTTAACTACTAGGTATCAAAATCATGTCACCCAAGCAACAAGCAAAACAAAAATGACGTGTGTTTGTGCCTGGGTCAAGCCTAAGGACGGTGAACCTCACCACCAGCTCCTTCTCCAATGCTCGCGTGTTGTTTTAACCCGAGGGCCTCTGTTTCTGAGCGCGATGCTGCAGAGGAGTGGTAAAGGGAAGAATTCCGTTCCCAGGCACTCCACACGACTCCACGGGAGCCTCCGATAAAGTCCGAAGTTCTGGAAGAACCCTCTGCCCTCACCGAATCCTGCTGTACCTCACCGATCCTCACCACACCCCTACCTTTGCTGCAAAAGGTCAGAGTCCTGAGGTCACAGGTTAGGTATGTTTCCGATCACCGCCCCTCCTAAGCATCAGTGTACTTAGGAAAGACAGTGGTTCTTTGGCAATTACTATCGTCCCAGGTAGGCACAGGACACAGGGAGAGAGAGAGTTCCGGTTTTTGCGTTGCTCCCTTTTATACTGTAAGATTTTGTTGTTGTCGTTCATCATTAATACATATAATACTTTTATAATGAACAAAACAGGCAGGCGTGTAGGGAAGCAGGCAAGAAGAAGACCATTTATCTCTCCTTGCTGGTGCTTCTCCTTGTAACGCCCTTGACCATTTCCACTGGAGTCTCAACTCTCAGCTTCACCAGCCTGAGTGACCTTCAGACAGTCACCTGATCACTCTTAACTTCGGAATGTTTGGGAATGACAACTCCTAACTCAGAGGGTTACTGCAAAGATCAGAGAAAATGATGTATTCATTTAGCACCCAGCTCAGCACCAAACACTGAGCACCTGTGCCCCACAGAGGATAGCCACGGTCATTGGGATTCTACTCTTTTTTCTCTTGCGAGACATCTGAGCGTGTCTGTTACTCCGTCTGACCCCCTACTTCTGCTGTGACTGCTGATTCGATCTGACACTGATTACCTCCTTGCACAGACTGGGTGCCGCCAACCACAGCACACTAAGTTTTCCCTGCTT